CAAACGTATGCTGGCCAAAGATGCTACCACACTTAGCCCTCCAGCGAAACTGCCTCCTGGTGAGTGTGCGGTTTTTTTTTCCCTTCAGCCAGAATTGTATTACCTTCTGTCTTTAAAACATGCTTATGGGAAGGTGCTGCACACTGGATGGTTTCAGCTTTTCTGATGTTGGCTGCTTTAGCAGAGACAAGGCATAAAGAGGAGGGGTGTTCTTCAACGTACAGTACAAGTTGGAACAGATGCATCTCAGTTGATTCTGAGATTTCCTGTTTTCTAGCTCTTTATAGGTCCTTAAGAACTATTGCCCTCCTCCCCCCATGTTGGAAATCTTCTCCCTTTGTAGATGAGAAGATAACCACACAAAAGTCTGCAAAGAGCAAGATAAAAAAACAGAGTGCTAAAGTCTTCCTTCCTCATTTTTTACTTTCACCATCTTCTGACTGATGTCCCTAAAATAGCCAAAATTCCACTGTTTATGTGAAACCTCATTGCCAGCAACTAGGCATTAGTTTTGCAACACTGAACTTTCTTACAAAATATCCTGTGCTTCCTGGTCTAGCCTTAAAGTTACCTCCAAAAATGCTCTCTCAAATATGTCAGTGTTTCTGGCGGAGTGGAGCCTGGAGAAGCAGCCATGAATAGGAGAACCTTCACCAAGAGAGCAAAGCCACCTTCTTCCTCACAGGAAGGAAAATCCAAGCCATTGACAGACCGTTAATCTGCAAAAGTATTTTGATGACTTACTGCAGCAGTCTGAGAACTTACACCTGATGCAATAGAGCATATTTACACAATTTCAGGCCAGCAATGCAGAGGGAATGTGCTGTGGAGGGGGCCGCTGTACTGCAAAATATGCAGATGGAGAAAGGGAGCAAGTCAGCAAGAGGGTGGGGACATCACAGAAGCAAGTTCTGCTGGTCAGTTCCTTCTGTGCAGTAAGTTTTGCTCTGAAAAGGCTGCTGAGCATATGGTGGAACATGGAATCTCATGACTAATCCTGAACTTTCCCGTATCAAAATAGCTATTTGTTTGCACAAAAATATTTTCCAGTGCATGTGGATGGGGAGACATCTGGAGAAAAGAGCAGGTGAGTACCTTTATATGCGTGGGTTCTGCTCCCACCTTCTCTGTACAGGAATTCGTGCTGTTGCTGTGGTATTGTCCAACTCTAAGAAAGGCAAGGTTTGGAGGAGAGGTGAGTCTGCATTTCCATACTCCTGGTTGAGCGCAGGTCTCCTCATGTCACCACAGTGAACGGGAAGGCTGGTTTGTGTGTAGCAAGCCCATGATGGGTGGTTTCAGAGCTGTCAGTGTGACTGTTTTCACTTCACTAAAAAGATGGGAGCTTTGCATGTCAAAGCAAGGTAGCACTTCACCTTACCAAGGTGTGCTGGGTTGTTTGATGAAGAGTGAGTGGTTTGGGAGTAAGAAAGAGTCTTTGGGGTTTGAAACTTTCTTCGGTGGTTCTGTTTTTAGAAGTGATTGCCTTGGGTGGTAATCCATTCTGCTGTAGGAAGTTGTACCGCATCCCTGCTGACTGGAAGCTAGCCAATGTTATTCCAATCTACAAAAAGGGCACGAGGGAAGACCCCGGGAACTACAGACCTGTGAGTCTAACCTCAGTTCCTGGAAAAATTACAGAGAAGATTATACTAAGTACTGTTGAAAGAGATGTAAAGAATAATGCCATCATCAGGCACAGTCAACATGGGTTCACAAAGGGAAAGTCCTGTTTAACTAATTTGACATCCTTCTATGATAAGGTCACTCTCCTTGTGGATGAAGGGAAGGATGTAGTTTTTCTGGATTTTAGTAAGGCTTTTGATACTGTCCCTCACAGCATCCTTCTGGACCTCTTGTCCAACTGCGAGATGAGCAGGTTCATGGTGCGCTGGGTGAAGAACTGGGTGAAGGGCAGAGCTCAAAGGGTTGTAGTGAATGAGGCTACATCTGGCTGGCGACCAGTCACCAGCAGTGTTCCTCAGGGCTCAATCCTAGGGCCAGTCCTGTTCAATATATTTATCAACCATCTGAATGCACCATTAGCAAGTTTGCTGATGATACCAAACTGGGAGGTGCTGTTGACACTCTTTGAGGGACAAGAGGCCTTGCAGAGGGATCTAGATAGATTGGAGCACTGGGCAGTCATCAACAGCATGAAATTGAACAAGAACAAATGTCAGATTCTGCACCTAGGATGGAGTAATGCTGGGCACAAGTATAAATTGGGAAAGAAGTGGCTGGAGAGCAGCCCTGCAGGAAGAGACCTGGGGGTGCTGGTTGGCAGCAGGCTCAACAGGTCCTGTTTGCCAGCAGGCTCAACAGGAGCCAGCAGTGAACCCTGGTAGCCAAGAGGGCAAACCCCATCCTGGGGTGCATCAAACACAGCATGATCAGCTGGTCAAAAGAGGGGATTGTCCTGCTGTGTTTAGCGTTGGTGCGGCCTTACCTGGAGTACTGTGTGCAGCACTGGGCCCCACAATTTAAGAAGGATGTGAAGGTCCTTGAATGTGTCCAGAGGAGGTCAACAAAGCTGGTGAAGGGGTTGGAAGGAATGTCCTATGAGGAGCAGCTAAGGACCTGGGCTTCTGTAGTCTAGAGAGAAGGAGGCTGAGGGGCAACCTCATTGCTCTCCTCTACAGCTTCCTGAGGAGGGGATGTGGAGAGGGAGGCGCTGCTCTCCTCTCCGTGGGATCCAGGAACAGGATGCATGGGAATGGTTCAAAGCTGTGCCAGAGGAGGTTCAGGCTTGACATTAGGAAGCATTTCTTTACCAACAGGGTGTTCAAACACTGAAACAGGCTCCCTCGAGAGGTGGTTGATGTCCCCGTGCCTGTCAGTGTTTGAGAGGCATTTGGACAATGCCCTTACTAACATGCTTTAACTTAGCCCTGAATTGGTCAGGAAGTTGGACTAGATGATCATTGTAGGTCCCTTCCAACTGAAAGAGTCTATTCTATTCTATCCCTCGAGCCACTGTCAGTGCAGACAATTACTTTTCTCCCCATAAGGGCAGTAAGCTCTGGGACAGACTGATGGAAATACTGCAGACAGAAGAAGATAAGATGGATCACAAAAGGGATTCAGTGAGTCTGTGATAGCAAAGGGTGAGATCTGAGAGGTGTCCTTTTCCTTGTAGGGCCAGCGATGCCAGTAACTGGCAAGACGGGAGAATACAAGATGTGTGAAAGTCCTGGCTTATCGGAGCCTGACAGCTAATAATTTTGTTTGTCCAACCCTATATCTGGGAGGCTACCGAATAAGTAATACAAGTCTATTCTGGGGCACAGGGGATTTAATCCATAGTTTCTTAACCTACTGTGGAGTTCAGGAGGCACAGACTTAGTGAACTGAAGGAATATGTGCTTTGCAGTTTCTTTCTCTCATTCATAGCTGTGAAAAGTAGGAGGACTGGCAGTGAAAAGGAGGAAGACAGGCAAAGTTTTCACCCAGTCTGGTGTATATTGGCTCTATCAACAGATAAAAGCAGGGTGGTGTAATAAGAAAGGGAATGTGTGATGAAGCTGGAATCAGTGGACCAAAATCCACAGAATGCTGTTTACTAATCCAAAAGCTTCAGTGACCACAGCAGCACTTCAAGGTTCCTGCAGCAAAAGCCCAGAATCTTTGCCAGTGACCTTCACACAGCTGAGCTCTGGGAAGGCTTAGAGTGACTTGGCTGGGCCACCTCAGGTGTCTCTCCACTGCTCTGAACCTCATGAATGCATTAGCATCTGTGCAAACAAATCCATCAGAATGGAGGTTTTCCTCCATCTGTCTGTTGGAAATGACCTGGCAATGGGGTACCATGAACCAATTCCTCTTTAAGGTGATGTCTTGAATTTGTGATAGGCATTTATCTGGGTCCAAATGGAAGACACTTGATGTGTATTTTATAGAGAATGTAATCCTAGTTGTGATTATTTCTTTGACTTAAATTTAGGATTGCAAATGGAGTAGCTCTTATTTGAATTGCAACACCAAAGAAAGGTCTTTCAGCACCTGCTGATGTGCTAAGGTGACTTTGTTCTTCTTTGATTTCATCTAGCCTTGTATTATCTTTGAAACTCCTGGGAACAAGAATCATTTTCAGACCTTGTATCTGTCAAGGCACAGTGAAGTAGGAAAATGGTACCTGCATAGTCAGGCAATAATCCTCCTAATGATAAGAACTGTTGGATTGCTGGTGCCTTCTAGCACTCCAGAGTGGACTGGTATGCCTGTGTAGTCCTCTTGTTCTTTTATTCTGAGGGATATGGGAATAATAGTAAAAAAATGAACAGTTAAAGAACAGTAGACTGCTCCAGGCCTTGCAGCCAGTAGGTAATGGAGCAGAACCTCTTTGGAGTAGGTTTGATCTCAATCTTAGTATTTTTGAAGACAGAACAGCAGGTTAACCCCATCAGTGGAGTATGACAAGAGATACTACTTGAAAGTCCTGTTGTGCTTCAAAGGAAAGTCAGTAAAGCATTATCCTCAGGGTCCACAGAAGGCAAAGGGATTATGTTTCTTTCTGCAGAAACAGCCAGTGCCGCTCACTGTCATGGGAAAAGCTGTTTTGGTAGGGGCCTGTCCATCTAGGAAGTATGTCAAAAATGTTGTTTGCTGCTTGGTCTTGTTTGGAGCAGTTTGTGTACAGGAACTGGTTTTATTGCAAGGTGACAAAAATTCATTCCTGTCCAAACCGATAAAACTCCTAAGAACAAGCCTGAGTGGCTGTGGAGCCCTTTCTGGCTGCCTAGGCCACCGCAAATGGCTCCTCAGTGCAGGCTGGATGCCACAGAGGCCAGAGCTTCTCCAGACACACTAGAGCAGTCATGACAAGACCCTGGCAGCCCTTTAGATGCCTTGCCTGAGCGTCTGCCCCTTGCAGAGGAGCTCATTAATCAACTCTAAATAAACCTGCTCAAAGACCTAGGGAAATGAATTTAAAATGAGGGCAAGGTGTTGGGTGCTGCAGCTTATGCTTTCCCACCTGTGCTTCTCCCTGCCCAGCATAGGCAGAGCCGTGCCTTGGGGACTGAGCAGCTGTGCTGACCATGAGCGAGCAGAGTCACGTCAACAGCCTGTTCCTCAATGAGGACGCAGCCAAGCGGCTCAATGCCGAGAGCCGGGTGCAGCGCTTCCAGCAGGCAGTGCAGAAGCGGGCAGCGCGGGCCAAGAAGCGGATGCACAGCATCACTGCCGACAGTGCTAAAAGCTTCTTCAGGAGAAATGCCTTCGTCCTCCTCACCATTGCTGCAGTGTTATTAGGTATGGAGCCGGTGGCAACACAGAGCACCATTTATAAATGTGCAGAAAAGTTTGTTTATTCTACAAAGATTTTATTTTAGCTTAATGATTTGGCTGGGGAGGTGAAGCTGATGAGCCGCCAGCTCAAAGTGCTGTGCACATCCGGAGTACCTTTCTGTGCAAGAACAGACCTTGCAGAGGGGGTGTGTGAGGAAGTTCTTATTGACCCTTTCTGGCTGCAGCTTAGGAACAGTCTACAACAGAAAGGGTTTGATGATCCAGCTCTACCAATCCTCATAAAAAATCATCCAGGTTTGTTCAGAGACTTCTTGTGAGTGCAGCTACAGGCACAGGAGCTCTTCAGATTCATCCCGCAGCTTCAGCCTGACAGGACCAGAAGGGGGAAGTGATGCAAAGGGCTGTGGTACAATGCAAACTAAATCGGCCCAGCAGATAGTGGATTGTCCCTAGCTTTTGATCCACGCTATATGTCTAACTCACTGGCTGAACTCAGCTTTAAGAGATGGGTGGACAAAGCCTCTGAGCTGTGTAGTCACACTTAGGTTAGGCTGGGAGATCATATCTCTGGTCACAGCATTTTTCTGTTTATGAGCTTCTTAGGAACAGACCCAAGAGGAGCAGCAGACAGAGCAACAAGGAGATCGATGGTTTAGCATGAGGCTCCTGTGCATACAAATATGTCAGGGGGAGAGAGAGAGCATATAGTAAAAACTGGATCATAGCCTTTTAGAAAAAGGAAAAGCATTTGCTCCTTTGGGGAGAGGCAGAGCTCAAAGGAGGTGAGAAAGAGAAAAGCCACGCTGTAGGACTGAAGGAGAGACCAATGGAGCACACTGTCCCATTTCCATTCTCACCGCTTGCTGATCCACAGGGATCATCCTGGCGTTTTCCCTCCGGCCCTACCAGCTGACCTATCGCCAGATCAAGTACTTCTCCTTCCCCGGCGAGCTGCTGATGCGTATGCTCCAGATGTTGGTTCTTCCTCTCATTGTCTCTAGCTTGATTACAGGTGAGAAGTGCTTTCTACTGCCTTCAGTCAAGACAATAATCAGATGGATGCTAGCTGTTGTTGGAGTACCCCTTTGTGCCCCAGCTGGAGGTGCTTGGATTGGCTTGGCTAGTAGTGACAAGCCTGAACCTTCAGCTGTAGTGAACATGATTCACACTCAAACCCCTGCTGGCTCAGTAGTGGGGAAGAGAAGCAGAAGGCCCTGTGCTTTCACAGAAGACTGGGGATGACACAGTGTTGTGTTTCCAATGCCCAACACTTGAGCACTAACAAGTATTTTATCCTATGTAACATAAAACATCAGCAAGTTTGTTGCCCAAGTCAGCTTCAGTTTTCCTCCAGCCTAGGGAAGGTTAATTTGTTGATCACCAGCTGGAGAGCTTGTTTCATCCAGGTTCTCATAAAAGACATGCTAGCCAGCGAACCTTTCAGACAGTGCAACAAATTGCAAGGCATTCCACCTGCTGAAACATCCCACCATTAGGGACTTAAAGGCCCAATGTACTGGGAGGGGATTATTTCCCTTCTGAGAGCTTTAGGAAGAAATTGCTATATTCCCAAATGCAGCCTAAGACCTACCAATGCTATGCTTCTTCGTAACCACAATCCACATTCTCCCATGTTGACATCACCCTGGAGCTCTCAAGTTTGCCCCTTGTACGCTGTGCTTCCTAGAGACCCCAGCTCCTTATCCATCTCACGCATGTGCCCTGCACACTTTGAATCTTCCTCGGGCTTCCCCCTTCCCTCTAAGACAATAGACCTTCTCACCTTGCCTCTCTGTGTGACTCCCCAGGAATGGCCTCGGTAGATGGCAGAGCCTCAGGGAAGATGGGGATGCGGGCTGTCGTCTACTACATGGTGACCACAATCATAGCAGTCTTCATTGGCATCCTCATGGTGATCATCATCCACCCAGGAAAAGGATCTAAGGACAAGCTTCACCGAGAAGGCAGAATTGAGCAGGTGCAGACCACAGATGCCTTCATGGACTTGGTGAGGTAGGTGAACAAGATGGTCTCATGTTGAGACCATATCAGTGAGATTACATTCCTTCATGGAATGTCCTTTTGAAGTGTCACAGCTTTAGACATACAGTG